GTAAGGCAAATGCCCTACCTATTATATTCTCTCTCCAGACCCTATACTGAGTCATCATTTGCAACATATGAATTCTAAAACTCTCAGAGATTTCAACTTTATATAACTCAAGGAAAGTATTTATTTGCAATTCCAAAGAATATGTAAGGGATGAGAGAGTGAAAACTGGTAGAAGGGTATAACTGAGAAGTAAGATTATCCTGCGGAAAGAACATCCAAAGGTTGCTGGAAATGGGAATAATCATAAAATGATCATTAGAAAATTCTCCAATTTCATCAAAAGATCATGTTCTAAGGAGAAGGGTGGGGTGAGAAGGAAAAGAGGGAGAAAGACAATGTTCAAAAACAAGGCTTGCCTAAGACATTACCAAACTGTCCATGTGTTCAAGACCACAGCAAGAAAATGCCTACAGCAGTTCAGAGAAAGTTCAAGTCATAAAACAGTGAAAGCATACCCTCAGTGCCTTCCCTACAGATGACCCTGTAGGGAAATAGATATTTTTCCCCCAGAGGCAACTAAGTTAATTTGAAATCATCAGTGTGGTCCCTTATCTAATATTACATATTCCCAATAAAGAAATAAAGCAGGATAGTAGGAGGCAGACACACAGACAGGAGCAACACCATGTGAAAATCAAGACAGAGACTCGGTGCTACTCCTATGCTGATGGCTGCAAGAGAAGATCCCTCCAGAAACCAGGGAAAATACTCAGACTGGATGGTCTGTCACAGTGCTGAGCATCAAACCTCCACGCAGCACACACCTGATCTCCATGAGCTGATGAATTCTGTTCTTTGAAACCCCAAACTCTGGGAGACTTAGCACCAAGGCCCAGGAATCACATGCTGAGATTTTTGTTTGCAGTATTCTTTGATGATGATGATGATGATGATGATGATGATGATGATGATGTGGATGATAGGTTTACAATAGTGTTGAGGTTTCTTGAATTGATGTACAGAGATGCTGCCACTTTTACCACCACAGGGCCCAAGATAACTACTGAGCCAGCCGGGAGCTCCATTCCTGCTTAATGGAGAAATGTCCCTACTGTTTACCATAGTGGTAGGACCAGATGACATTCTCACCATTAGTGAACAAGAGTTTCTTTTTATCACCAAACCCTTGCCAACATTCACTGTTGGGGCTTTTTGTTGGTTGCTTGCTTCATTTTGGGTGCTTTTTGAAGGGAAGGTGTTGAATATATTCTCAAGGGTGCCTCATTGTCATTCTTCTAGGTGACTTCTCTAAATGCTTATCTGCCACCCGTAATTCTTCTTCATAGATGTTTCTACTCACATTTTCTTCCCATTTTTTGATGGCGTTACTTAAATTTTTGGTGCTGAATTTTGCGCTCATAGAGTTTGACTGTCGGTCTTTTCTGCGGTGTTAAGTGTGATTATTTTCTTCCAATCCTGTGGGTGTCCTTTGATTTTAGCCTGAGTTTCTTTCTCCATACAGAAACCTTTCCATTTCATATAGTTCCTCTTGCTAATATTGTGGGTCATGACCTTTACCAGTGGAATCAGATCATTGAAGACCACTTTGATGAACCTGCAGAGTTCTGCCTGTGCTTTCCTCACTTATTTTGTGGTTTCTGGTAATGCCACTCTCTTATTTGAACCTCTGCCCTGTCTTCATGGCCAGTCCTGGGTAATGTAATCAAACTCACTGGTCTCATCTCCTACCAAACTCCCGGCAGTTTCTGTCACTCCCCAGCCACCCCTGACTTCTGCACTCTCCCAATTTCCCAGTATCCTGCTCACCCTTGAAATCTCAGTTCCCTTTATCTAGAAAGAACACTCATTTCTTAGAAATCTACATAGCACACATGTTCTCTCTATGCATATTTCTTGAATGAATAGGGAATAAAGTAAAAAGATTTACATAAGTCAGAAAAGTTTTTAGCCTCATATTCAATTACATCACCATGATGCTCCAGTTTGGTTTTCTCTTTTTAAACTTCTCTTCTTATAAGCTTCTCCAGCAGTGCTCAGGGATCTCTCCTAATGTTGCTGGAATTCAAATCAGGGTCATGCCGTGGAAGCAAGCTGAGTGCCTTAAATTTTTTTTAGATTAGAATGCATGTTATCCATTTTTTTAAAATTTATTAGTGAAACACCATGAGGTACAGTTGTAGACTTACAAATTTTTGTGCTTGGGTTTCAATTATACAATGATCGAACACCCATCCCTCCACTAGTGCCTATTCTTCCACCACCACTGATCCCAGTATCCCTCCCACCTCTATGGCAGGGCATTCCCTTTTGTTCTCTCTCCTTTTGGGTGCTGTGGTTTGCAAAAGAGGCATTGAATGAGTATCTTAACTTTTGTACTCTCTTTCAAACCCATTAATAAGCTTCCTATGCACAAATGACAACCACAGGTTTTCTATTTTCACCTTTGATGTGTATAGAAAGTCCTATAACTTTCTTCTTTATATTAAAACACCATAATTTATAAAGGTATTTGTAGTCGAGCTTTAGACATACAATATTACAGAACCAATCCCACCACCAGTGTCAATTTCCCTCCACCAATGTTCCTAATTTTCCTCCCATATCCCCCACTCAATCCCAGCCTGCCCTCTTGACAAGAACCTAAATATGGTTGTTCAAGTTTGGGTCTGTCTATTCCAGTGCTGTTGACCTGTGGTTTGGGTATTTGGCTCTGTCATTCCTGAACACCACTCTATAATTCCTTAAGATTTTTACCTTAATCCCCTGAACTGGCCCCAATTATTTCTTATCTGCCTCTTCTCTTCCTTTTCATCCATTCTTTCCTTCTCCTCCCTATACTCTGGGGCCAATGTCGATCTGGGAATCCTCATTTTAAAACATGCTTTCCCTCCAGTCCTTCATCCAGTTATTCCAAATACCACATATAAGTGACATGATCCTGTATTTATCCCTCTTCTTCTCAACTTCCTATGCTAGGTGCATAAGATATAATTTTTTTAAAAAAATACAATTACTTATTGTGTTTTATTTGCAATTACTGGTAGTTCTATACTAGTGTCTCCTTGTATGGAGCCTTTGTTTTAATCTTGGCAAAAAAAAAACATGAGTAAAGCTTCATCTTCTGATAGCATGATTCTAGACTAATGGTCAGGGTCTGTCTGGTTATCAGTTTCTTTGTCTTCTTCTTCTTTTTTTTTTTTTTTTGCTTTTTGGGCCACACCAGTGATGCTCAGGGATTACCCCTGGCTCTGTGCTCAGGAATTACTCCTGGTGGTGCTCGGGGGACCATATGGGATGCCAGGGATTGAACCCAGGTTGGCGGCATGCAAGGCAAATGCCCAACTGGCTGTACTATCTCTCTGACCCTCTTTATCATTCCTTTACGCCTTTTAGAGTGAAAATTTAAGATCCATATCCTGTCTCAGATTTAAAAGAACACATTTCTTTAATTTTTTAATTTATTTTTTTTTATTAGTGAAACACCATGAGGTACAGTTATAGACTTACAAATTTTTGTGCTTGGGTTTCAGTTACACAATGATCAAGTACCCATCCCTCCACCAGTGCCCATTTTCCACCACTATGGGTCCCAGTATCCCTCTCACCCCCCCAACCCCCCATCCCACCCTGTCTCTGTGGCAGGGCATTCCCTTTTGTTCTCTCTCTCTCTCCTTTTGGGTGTTGTAGTTTGCAAGAGAGGCATTGAGTGGCAATCATGTTTGGTCTATAGTCTACTTTCAGCATGCTTCTCCCATCCTGGGAGTATTCTCCCAACACCCTTTATTTGGTACTCCCTTCTCTATCTGAGCTTCCTTTTCCCCCAGCGTGTGTGGCTGGCCTCCAAGCCATGGAGCAAAGTTTCTGGTACTAATCTCAGTCACTCTTGGGTGTTAATCTCCTATTTTGTTACTTTATGTTCCCCAGACGAATGCAATCTTTCTGTGTTTATCCCACTCTTTCTGATTCATTTCGCTTAACATGATGCTTTCCAAGAACACATTTCTTTTTGTAAAGCTGAAACCTAGCTTTTAGCCAGGCACAAAGCTATCCAGAGAAAAAAGGGAAAAAATTTTTCCTTTTTGTACCAAAGTACTATGTACTGGCCAAGTGAATCTGAGTGAAAGACATCAGTGAGGAGAAAATAGCAGGCCATTTTGTGTTGCTTTCACTTCACAACCTGGAATAGCGATAGGATGTCTAGAACTGTAGCTGGAATTTTTAATTACGAAGAAAAGGGAGAAGGAAATGAGAGATGAGCTAAAATGGAGTTCAGGTAGGTCACTGAGGGATTCACAAAACATGACTATCTCACTACTCTAGGCATTTTGCTTCTGACTAATGTAAGAAATAAATTTCTCTTTTATTTCTTTGAAAGTCACTGTTACTTGAGGATTCACCCACAATTGACCATAACCCTACCTCAATCATCAGAAACCTTTAGTGACTGGAACTCAGAGTTACAGTGAATTACTGCTGCATTGTTTAAATGAATCAGAATGCCAGAAATTATCCACATTGATAGTCAAAGGTCTTTATTTTCTATGTTTAATTGCTTACAATTATTTTGGAAAAATAGCTATGTCTCGAAATGTACTTCACTTTAGGAATCTAATATGTCCCAAAACATTATGTGCGTGACTATTAAAAAAAATCACTGAAAACAAAAATGTTCCATTCAACTTACATTTTACACATTCTTAACATGAGCAGTAAGGAAAGTGCAACAGTAGGAGCAGAGGCTCTTATCCTTGACTGACATGCTACATTAGAAGAGAGCTTTTGCTAGTTTGAAATATTTTAAATATTATTCACAATAGATGTTATCTACTAGGATGGACATGCAGAACCTTCTCTGAAAATCTTTATTGAAGAAAGTCTTTTTGTTCTTGAGGTTTGTATTCAATTAGCCATTTTAAAATGCATTTAAAATAGCTGTCTATCTACCAAACATCCAAATTTAGATACCCTGATTATCTGTTTTGCTCTTCTGAATGGTTAAATATGTGCTATAAATAAAACACATCAATTTTACTCTGTTACTATCATTACAATAAGCCTCCTATAGTTGAAATTAATTTAATGTTTACTTATCACTAAACGTATTTACTTAGAAATGGTTCATGAGAACATGAAATTACAGGATTTTTATGAGTGAAAGACAAATTTTAGAAGTCTCATAATATTTACAGTGTAAACATCACAATTATTACATTAGAATAAGATAAGTCACAGCATTCACAACACAACATGTTTTATTTGGTTTTGATATTGAAGTTGTTTTCTTGAACTACTTATGTAGAATGCAAAATATAATTACTTCACTGGTTATTTTCTTCATAACTCTGAAAAATAAATAATAGATGTTTTATGTTTAAGTAGCATTTATAGCAAAATTTTAGTTTTATTCATTTGTCACTTCATCTAATAGACATGTTGCTCTTGCCTCTTGTCAACAGCATGTGCTAGAGAATTATGTTTAATAACATCAAGAGGTGTCCTACCAAAGGACTGATTGTCAGTTAGGGAACTGGATTGTAAATCTTATCTTATATCCCCCTAACCAAAATTGTTCTTAATATTTACCATCTAAGCAAAAAGAAGTACAATTAAATTGTAAAGGGGTTCTTTAATTAGTCTGTAACAGTTATCTGGTCACTATTTTGACATGTTTGAGCCACAGGACTTCTTATAAAATAACTTGTTCAAAATCACAAATTCAAATTGAAAGAAAGAGAGGATGAAATCTTATAAATGATCTTATAACTTACAAATGACTAAGTGGTTGATCCTCCTCAATATTTTAGTGCCTATTGTAGTTCTTAATTTAATGGAGATATATTCTTAAAAACATTTTAGCGATAAGTCATTAGTCCTGAACTGAAAGGACTTGTTTCTCTGAATTATTGCTCAATAACAAGGAATAACCATTGAAGTACCCTTGGTGATTAAATTCTCTTAGCACTGAAGAGACAAAGCAAAAACAGGAGTAGACCCTTTGTCTATCCTTGATGCTTTTCATGAAAGCCTGAGGTATATGCCCCAGAAACTGATGTAAGACTGTTTTTGCAGCCTTTGGTCTGAGCTTGGTTCTACATTAATCTTTCCTGACCACACTGTAGGTAGGTAATCTAACCTTCCACAATATTTTACATATACATATATTGCAACATATAAGACTAAAATCAATTACTCTGTAGATCCTTAGAGAAAATATTTTGCTAACTTCTAATCTAGTTATGTCCTAAAATTTTCCATGTATTGTACATCTATTTTTATGTGTTAATGTAAAAATTAATGTAACTCTGGGAAGAAATATTTCTTTAGTTCATATTTATATAAAAACTCTTAAACTAGTAAATTTATCAATCTATGAAGGACAAAGCCTGTTCATGCATTTTTTGAAGAAACATTTTTCAGTGAAGACTACTGGCGTCATCATACTTATACTCACTTAATAGATACAATAAATCAAATTCAGTTTCTGCATATGCTGTTTGCTCTGTTTCAAGGAATGCAATTAGACCCAGAGTACCTTTGCATTTTACTGCAATTTAGTAATATTTTCTGAATTTAAATTAAATGATGTGCTAACAGTCAATCATTACATTAAATTTTAAATGAATCAAAATTTTATTCTTAAAAAGAAAGGCGATTTTTTCATTAGGGAGAGTCATTCTTCTCTTTTTTCGTATATGGACACTAGGATAAGAGAGTGTAAAGTCGGAGCACCAAAATATCTGTTCATTGTGAGCACTGATGGACTCATTGGAGCCTGTTTCCTGTGCAGGGGACCACTTTAGAAGGAAGGATCCTTGTGATATGTGCTCCATGGCGAGGACCCAAAGACCTGACTCTAGGGTCTTTACAAGAACCTCTCACCTACTTCAGTTAGTTGATGGCACTATGAATGCGCTATGAATGCACAGATATACCCACCCTTGGGAAGTTGTCAGCAGCTTAGCTTCACGGAGCTTTTCCATTATTTGTCTATCTCATCAGAAAAGTCATCATAGTCTCTATCACTGCTGTATATCAGAAAAAGAAATTGGTCAGGTTACACCCCTACATAAAATCTTCTACAGAAATAATTCACTGTGACTTAGACTGCTGCCTGTGCTCTGCCAAGTGCTTTGGAGCTAAATGATTATCTTTCTCATAAATCATGACCTGTGGATTTTTCCTCAATCTTAAACCCCTAAAATGATTTTTAAGGATTATCTGCTGTTGCAAGAGAATCATCTTATCTTATATCCCCCTAGCCAAAATTGTTCTTAATACTCACCATCTAATCAAAAAGTATACAATTAAAAAAAAAAGAACCCATCTCCATAATATTCCCATATTCATGCATTATAGAGAGAGTTCGTACAAAATCTAAGAATACAAAAAAACTCATGGTTTCATTTGTTAAAATGAGGGTATCAAATTTTCACTTGAAGGGGGTTCCTTGAAAGACCAAGTTTTTAATTAACTGTGCTATATATTTACTTAAAAATCAGCCAAGAAAACTCACTCCCAACTTCAGACTGGCTATTCTATAGTCATTTTTAACCCTACTGACATTAAAAATACTGTAATCAACTGGGTCCTTCATTAAAAAAATGCAATTAACTGGAATTTCTATCCCTAGAATCCCTCATTTCCTGGGGCATGGTTTTCAGTAAAGCTCAGATATCAGTATTCTGAAAATTCCCCAGAATAATTCTGAGTCATGGTTAAAAATTAATGTTTCACAAAGGACAAGTAGAATGTGAGATGGAGAGATATGATTCGATATGCAGCTTTGATTATGAAGGTCATTTATAATTTCTCCTTTGAGTATTTTCTCCTTTCCTTTACCTCCTCTTCCCATTCAGAATTGAATTTAGGTATTTCTTTACAGCCATTTGTTTTCTAAGGCGGGTATAGTTGTCAGTGAAAACCGCATCAGAGTGGCGTTTGGTTTGTTCTTGGTCTTTGTCTTTGTCTTTGTCTTTGTCTTCGGAAACACTTTTTCTATGGCAAATGAGAGGAAAGAATCAAACGGTTTAAAAAATAAATCATAGATTTTCCGAAGTATAAGATTTCTTGGCAGCAGGTAAAAAGAGGAATCCTATAGTCCAATTTTTTATTTTGTATCACAAGTAACTTTTTAAAAAGCTGCCTCATAAGGTTATTAAAGCAAGAAATAATCCATCACACTTTAACATTTATAGGAACTACCTTAAGCCACATTTTCTACAAACTGAGCAAATAATTTATCCAAAAAAGTGGAATTCGTGAAGTTGAGTTCTGTCATCGAAGAAAATTTCTATAAAAGCAGCCATCACCCTAAGCAGTGCTATTTAGATATTCAGTTATAGACCATTTAAAGAAAGAATTTTCTAATGTTTAGTTTGAGTGTGAAGTGAAAAAACAGAGTTATACTGTACCTTAAGTTTTTCTGTGTCTAATTCAATTTAATCATAGAGTCATAAATAATTGCTTTTTAATGAAAATACATATCTGGAGCAAATGAGAATAATATTACTCAAAAGCTTTATCTCTTTACTCCAGAAATCTGGTATATTATATTAAAGGATATACATTTATTTAACTAAATAGAAAATGACTCTGCTATCCATCTTGACCAAAAATCAAAAGTGAAAATTTTTATGACCTGTTAAGGGCAAGAGGTCTACTAAAAATAATGAATTTTATTTACTCATTTCGCTTTCCAATAAGGGACTCAAGGTGCTTTCTGGCAGCCAGTTTACTCAAGAGCTTGCGGTAGTCACTGGTGAAAATAGCATCAACATGCCTGGCATTCCTAAAAAAAGGAAAGAAAGATAGTCAATATTTTGTAACTGTTTCCTAAAGTATTATTTAGCTTATTAAATAAGAAAAACTCAGTTTATTATGAGACCTTCTCATGCAAATATAAATCCTAGTAAATAATCTAATAAAAATTATTTTCTAGTCACTTAAACATTAGATGATTAGCTTTGGTGAAGTAAATGGTTTAATTATTGTCTTAGAAATATTGGTGGTAAAATGTATTTGAATGTTCCTATTTGTTAAAGCTACTTTGTTTAAGCTACTCTGAATAAAGATATGCATAGGAATAAGCAAATTTGATTTTAACACAAACCCCTTTTATACCTTTTGTTATTTATTCTGCCCAAAAACTGGGAAAACTGTCTATAGAGACAAAAAGGGCTTTAGGGCCCCATCAATTAACATTTTCATTCTACTGAGGAATCATCTGTATTTTGTCTTAAGTAACAAACTACTCTGACTATGCTCAATTCTTCCAAGACAGCTTTCCCAGAAGTGAGTTTCTCTATCAGAAATCTTTTCTTTACATATACATGCAATTCTGCCTTAGAACTCTTCCATTATAGAAATCAAATTGCCTTTTGTAGTTTTACTAGGGTTGATACAATTTCTGGTGTCAAGATTTGTGCAATAAAATATAAGTGAATGTTGCTATTTTCACTTGTTTTTAATCCTGCTAGTAACAACTTTCCTAAATAAAAATCATTTTTTTTTGCAAAACATCATTGCAAGAATTTCAACAAAATATTAGATTGAATGGAACCATCAAACACAGATACCTGTGGTGTTTTCTATATTACAGAGACAGTTTCATGCTGAAACAAAGATAAAACATCTATTTTAAAATGGTTTATATAAAAGAAAGCTCAATAAAACGGACTTACCTTGCTCTGTCATAGTAGGGTGTGTCATTCTCAGCTAACACATTTTGTGAGATTTGATCAGGATCTCCTTCAAGCAGCATTCTGTCAGTCAAGCAAAAATACATTTCGACATCTTTCTCAGAGACTGATTGTTAATGATCTTATTATAGTTTGAGGTAAGATACTACTCAAAACCTTAGACAAGATCATCTATTCACCCTCTACATGTAGCATAATTCAACTCAATGACTTCTAAGACTTATAAGAGAAAATAGTAATTAAAAAATTGTTGTTGGAACACTATATGACTGAAATCTGATCATGAACAGCCTTGTAACTGTTCATTTCACCATGATTCAAATTAAAAAATAATCATTTGTATTATTCTGTAAAATTTATGCCACACAACCTTTAAAATATCTCTTTATACATCAAACTGCTTTTTCCAATTTTATCAGAGCATATGTCCTTGATCATATCTTCACTTTGCTAGTTAAATTTCACAAGCAGAGAGGTTTTTACAAAATGTCAACTCTGAAAGATTTTAAATACCTACCATGAAAACTGGGAGCAATTCATATAGCTGTTTATGTTTAGTATTATCTATCTTAAATATTATTTAAGATCTGAATATTAACTACTTCTTTTTCTAGTTTCCTACACTTCGCTTCAAAGTTTCCTTTTAGTGTAACTTTCTCTGTATTGATCAAACCTGAAGAAATATCTCCATATCTGAATATTTATTCAAACCTGATGCATTTGGGGTTCTGGTTTCTAATTAATTACATTAATGAATTTTTAATAAATAATGTGTAATGCTTTACTAGAATACTAAGAGCACTTATAACTATATGTGGAACATAACCTTTTGGTGAGTGCATGCATATTTTAAACAGCAACAGACTTAAAATTGTGTACACAAGTGTATTTCTACTATTAGGCAACTCACCAAGGAATGTCCAGTCTCTTTGGCACTTTTACTATCTATGGAGTTATTTAGAAGAAAATAGTGGTCAACCCACTTTGAGTATAAAATCCAGGCAGACTTCAGAAGTCTTATGTTTGTTTATTCATTGTTATGTAACTCAAATAAGATCACTGGTAAATTGCCGAAACAATGTCAGATCTGGCTTTAAGCAGACTTCACAGAGATCACTAACAACTATGAGATTATTCACTCTATTGAGCAAATGTCCACTTTAAGTCATGAATCAGGAATGGGGAAAAAAGCAGATAGCTGATTCTTTTGCCCTGTGATACAGTGCTGCCTATAAAGCAGAAGGAACATTTGTGCTAATATGGTTTTCCTTTACTTTTCACTTAGAGTACATTTAATTTATTCCAGATAAACCCTTAAATATCAGTTATGTTAAGTGAATTTGAAAGATGAAATATAACAGAGAAAGTAAGACTAGGACTACTATCAACACCAAGAATATTAAAATTCACTTATTGAGGGAGGGTATCTAAATAAGTAAATTATCCCATAATTTTTAATATTAGCAAGTTGATTTTACCTAGATAGATTTTTGTTCAACACCATTTTATATTCAATGTTCTATCAATGAATTGTAATATAGTGATTATTTACTGGTATTGAAAGTGAACTAAACTAGATGCATAATGCTTTACATGCATATTTTAAACAACAGCTCATTATCAAAATTGTGTGCACAAGTATATTTCTACTATTAGGCAGCCCATCAAGAAAATTCAGATAATTCAGATAAAAATGGATAATTCAGTTTAATTTCTGATGGAAAAAATAGATGAGTTTTAAACAAAAAACTATTTTTCCATCAGAAATTAAACTGAATTGAAGACTCATTGCATTAAATCTTATGACTCCATAAAACTTTCTTAATTAAATGAATTCCACTTTGATTCCATCTTATTTGGAAGCATGCTCCACCTTAACACTACTCTTCAGCATCACCTCTTGTGTTGTAAGAGGTGACATTAAGTGAACTGTAGAATTCAGAAAAAGCTTGATAAGATATTGAACAAATTTAACATACCTGCCTAGATGTTTGAACAACTAATATCTAATTTACAAAGTCAATTCAAAGTAACATAGAGTGAATGTTTAACTGAATTGGAAAAGAACTTACCTCATAGCAGAAGGTGCCATGGGCCATGCTAAAGTCTGTGAGAAGAGCACACTCATAAGTATGAGAAGCACAAAGAACCGGGATTTACTTCTGGTTTCCATCTCTGTTCTGAGAGAGACAGAGACAGAGAAAGGGAGGGGGGTGAGAGACACAGAGAGAGACAGTGGCAGAGAGAGAGAGAGAGAGAGAGAGAGAGAGAGAGAGAGAGAAAGAGAGAGAGAGAATTACATCAGCTTTTCTACCCACAGATGTCCCCATCTGAAACAATTCTGAACTCTAGCAGCAAATGCAGAATTTGTGGTGGTGGGAGGTGTATAATTTTCTTCTTATGAACCAGTTGAAATGCACTATTGTCACTTTGAAAATCAGGAAACTTGCTTGCAGAGACTGGTGCTTAAAAAAAACTTGGGATAATTCTCAACTGTTGCTTCTGTCTCTGAGGACACAAACATCAAATTACATACTTTTATAGTGCTAAAAGAAATTGGGGTGGACTATCTCCTTTTAACAAACTTGTATAATTCAAGTTGTTTAGTGTCTCTTCCTAAGGAAACAGCTTCACAAAATTCTAATGATTTTATATACTTTAAACCTTTTAGTATCTGATTAATATGAAACTGGAGTAGTAGCCAATAAATATATATAATACATATATTATACAAAATTTATTTTGTATGCAACTTTATTCTTCTTTTTCTAATTAAAGATATCCCTGGTATCTTATTTTCTGAAGTTTGAGTTTGAATGACTTAGATCAATGAAACATAACAAAAATACTAAAAATATCAAAAGTATACATATTACATGTTACTATAAAATTTTTCCATAAAAGTAAGAATATATATATTACAGACAAAGCTTGTGTTTTTGATATTGGCTCCATGTACACATTTTATTTTAAAATTATATGAATAATAAAGAAACTTAGAGTTTCAGACATTGTTCTCTTAGCTATAAAGAACACATTGTTTTGAACTTAAAAAGGAAAACAAATGTTTTCTCAGCTGACCAAAATTTTTTTTCAAAAAGCATAAAAAAGAACACTTAAAACACAAATTGGAATTGGAAGCAATTGTATCTACAGGATTATTCAGTCAAAACATAGTCTAAACTGGAAACATCCTATTTGATTACATTATTTTTAAAAGTTTGAAAGTAAATGCCCAAAACATGCAGAATACTTACCAGGTGACTTGAGAGATACCTTTTTGCTTTCGTAAAGAATGAATACTGCAAGATTCTTTTGAAGAGAGAGAAACTTTTATTATTCCTTGATAAAACTTCTAAGTACTAAAACTTTGAGACAGAGAGGGAAAAAAAGAAAGAAAGGTGAAATTTTAACTTACCTTGCAGAGCAGTGTTTTGGGCTTGGAGATTCTGGAGCCCTCGGAGCTGTCCTGGTGCTGAATTTCTTTGAGGCCAAAAGACACTCCACCAGTTCTCTGCCTTTAGAGCTGAACCAGCTCTTGGTCCTGACTAGGGCTTGGCTGTTATTGCCGTTATTGCCAGCCAGTGCTTTACACTCTACTCTGACCAGCATTTCAAACCCATCTTTTTATAGGGCTTCTACTTAGCGCTGTGCAATCACAAAGCTCTCGGAAAGACGTCACAGTAGTACTCCCACAGGATAAATAGGGCTTGAAATTCTTATTTAATTGCCATTACGTCTGATTTGTACAAATTTATAGTGAGTAACTTTAAGATGCAAGACATAAAGAGGAAATTTATTTTCCCTGATAAAAGGGCACCCATTTCAATGTGAAATGGCTTAATCTTCAATTAGTAATCATGAAATAAGAGACTGATTATAGTTATACTCAGGGCCACTCGAGTTCCTTCAAAAATTAAAAGTTTGTGTGTTGGAACAGATGCAAGATACAACAAACACATTAGATTGATGATGCATTTGGATGTATAATTATCTTTTACTGCATGGCTTCACTTCTAATGCCTTTTAAATTTTGTTATGTGGTGCATATAAATCCTCCCTAAACTCTCTTGAGAACTATTCTAATTTTAAATATGTATAGAAATAAGATTTTATCTTTCTTTTATTGCATTTTGTCTTTGTATAAGCTAATATTATGATTAAAGTTTCAGAAGATTTCTAAGATAGTATTCTATATCATTGCAGCAACAGAGGCAGTAGTAATGCTGCTGTTTAACCTTTGCATAAAATGTTATAATTTCCTTTTTTGAGAGCTATGCATCATTTTTATAAATATTGTACGTTGTGGAGTCATTTTGGTTCTCCTTCTCAATGCCTTAATACATAGTATTACCCATAGCAGCTTTTGAATATATCTATTATATATTCAATTTGTAATAATTTGGCAGGTAATTCCAAAGAACTATTTAAAAACCATTAATGAAGTACTTAATAATTCTTAATATGTCAAAGCAGCCTCTCATATATTTAATCATAGTTTTAGATAGGAATGTACCCATATAAACAACAAAACAAAATGCTCTATTCTTCTTAAAATTTCAAAAATTTTGTGTGTGTAGTCTTTTACAGTTTTGTTTTAAGGTTCTTAAAAAGAATGTCTCCAAAGTCCCCTTTGTTTCACTAACATTTTCTATTAAATATTTTTATTTGATTTGTTTTATTCAAAGTCAAACTGATCCAGTAAAAGAATATCCTGCTACGCTTAATCATATTTTATAATCCAGTTACAAGAAAAATTAAATGAATTAAATTTCAAAATGTCTGAAATTTGTTTCCCAGTTGACAGCTCTGACTTTAGCCAGAGTTCCTGAGGCTTAATTCCAGGAAATCTCTTTTTTTTTTTTTGTCTGATTATTACAAACTAGAAGTTGAGATATTTCTCATGTGGTATTTTTTTTCTTAGTCCTTCATCACCCAATTTTCAAGGCAATTTCATTTAAGAACAGCAATAGCAGAAATAGCTAATTGAGAGAAACAAGCAAACTCTGAATAAGTAGAAAAGTCTAAGAGAGACATAAATGTTGATTATTTCAGAGTCTAGGGAGCACTTAGCATTCAGAAAATGTACTAGAATAGTTTTTCCAGTTATAAAATATACGTTCTCTTATTGTGTAAACAACACAAAGATAAGGAAAATTTTCCATTTATCATCTGTAAATAAAAACAAGCAAAATCAAAGAAAGATTTTTCCCCTCTGAGGTTAAACTGAGAGAACAAAACTGACCTCCAAAATCGAACAATAGCACCATCTGCAGGTTCAAGTCCTAAATCACATTGCTTTAAAAATGTGTTTCTTTCTTTTTTTTTTTTTCTTCCTTTCAAAAAGCCTATATAGACCAGAGATCTTTTAGCCACTTAAATTATGGACGCTTTGAGAGAAATAACTCTAAAATAAAAATAGCATTGTACGAAAATACAGATGTGAATTTACTGTTCAAATCTGATTCTTTCCTACTTTGACATAATTTTTGTTATTTTACCACATTTACAGAACTGATTTCCAATGATTAAAGTATGCTTATAACTACCACTCATCTTGCATAGTTAGAACAAATAGAAAACTGTTGGCAACTTAGGCTAAAAAAGTCAGTGTACATGGGTTTTTTAAGTAAAAGGAAACTTTTCCCAAAGTAAGCAGTAATAACATTAGAGCTTGAAAAGACGTTAAGTGAAAATATAAATAAATAAAACAAGTAATAAATAAAACATAAATCCTTAACATGGGGTCCTCATCGAAAGCAAATACTGGTCAAATGGTAGATTCAAATAGTCCAGATTCAAATATGTTAAGTCATCAATGAAAAGTAAGTAAAGGACTTTGGAAATGTTATTGAAAACTCTGGTGGTGAAAAGTGAGAAGCAGATAATACTTAGTTGGAGGGAGAAGTCTTTTCTTTCTTCTTTTTTAAAATTTTTATTAGTGAAACACCATGAGGTACAGTTGTAGACTTACAAATTTTTGTGCTTGGGTTTCAGTTATACAATGATCAAATACCCATCCCTCCACCAGTGCCCATTTCCCATCACCACGGATCCCAGTATCCCTCCTGCCCCCATCCCCCGCAACCCACCCAACCTCTGTGGCAGGGCATTCTTTTTTGTTCTCTCTCTCATTTTCGGTGCTGTGGTTTGCAAAAGAGGCATTGAGTGGCAGTCATGTTCAGTCTATAGTCTACTTTCAGCATGCATCTCCCATCCTGGGAGGATCCTCCCAACACCCTTTATTTGATGTGCCCTTCTCTATCTGAGCTGCCTTTTCCCCTAGTGTGGCTGGCCTCCAAGCCATGGAGTGAACCTCCTGGTACTTATCTCGGATATTCTTGGGTGTTAGTCTCCTATTTTGTTACTTTATGTTCCCCAGATGAATGCAACCTTTCTATGTCTGTCGGAGGGAGAAGTCTTTCATGATAAAAGGAACTTCAGCAGATTTTAGTCGTAAAAGGAGCCAATATAAAGAAAAATATAGACGTGAAACAGGAATAATAACACATAGTTTCAGAGAAGTTGGAGAGACTTATTTTTTCCATGGTTCTTGGAGTAAAGGGGAAAGGATATGACATTGATGCAACTATGTGTGAGAACTCATTGGTAGGAAACTGAACAAATTCCATCTATGGCTTCTGTGGAAAATAGAAAATGAGACTTTGATCGGGTGGAAGTGTTATGCCTTTGTAATCACACAGACTACACATAGAGTTTGGGGAGACAAGAACAAGGAAACTCTTTCATTTTACCAAAAAAATATTTAAAAACTATCAGGAAACTCACAGTGTAATATTAAGGCAAACCAAGAATTTGAGTTTGTTATTATTTTTGGTTGAGTTCATTTTCACTAAGATGAAGAATGATGAGGAATAGTTGAGCTCAGAAAATATTTTGAGTTGGTTGATAGCATTTGCCAAAATGAGAAATGAGAAATTCAGGAAGGAAGACGATGATTCATTCTGTTTGGAGTTGGATTTGAGGTATGTATGAGCCATCAATGCAAATCTTTAAAATACAGTTTATTATAAAAACCCAAAGCCTAGGATAATAATATGAGCCAAATATATTGAGTTCAGAATCACAGGAATCAATCACATGAATAGATAAGCTTACCAAAGAAGAAAGTCTGGAAACAAGAAAAATGATCAAACGATAGTTTGTTGGTTCTTATTTTATTTTACTTTTTTGTTTTGTCTATTTTTATTTTACATTATCCCATTGTTATTAATTTTTATTGAATTACCATGAGATATACAGTTACAAAGTTGTTCATAATTGGGTCCAAGAAGATATTTTTGATGAGACTATCAAGGGATTATCAATATTAAGAAATGGACATGGGAATGTACTTTAAAAGTAGAGAAAGATAAAGAAAGAATGTGCCTGCCATAGAGATAGGCTTGGAGGAGGGAAACTGGGGGCATTGTTGGTGGGAAATGTACATTGGTGGAGGGACGGGTGTTAGAACACTGTATGACTAAAACCTGACCATGATCAGCTTTGTAATTCTGTATCTCACTGTGACAAAAAAAATTATAAAAACTTAAAAAGAAAAGAAAAGTACTTAAAATATTAACCTGGGGACTGGAGAGTTAATACACAGCAGATAGAGAACTTCTTTTGCATGTGGCTTACCAGGATTCAATTCCTGGAACCCCATATTGTCTCTCGAGTCCCACCAGGAATAATCCCTGAGCACAGAATCAAGAGTAAGCCTTGAACACCAGCAAGTGTGTCCCAAGAGCAAAACAACAACACCAACAACACCAAAGTACTTTTATGTTAGTTCATGTTAAATAGATCATGATCATACAATTCATGTTGAAATACGACAACGATTGAGTGGTCCTGAAAAAGCTAGAGCAGGAGAGGAAATGAGAGAGTGGAGAACTTCCTGTTGTAAATTAGAAAGGATGGAACTGAGAAATGTGAGATTTTTTTTGTTAGGAGTAATTTCAGGGAGGTAATAATAAACAAAATTCTAATAGTCAGTGGAAGCTGAGTAGAGGAGAAACATAAAAGGAAATCTTTCAAACTACTTGGTTGTGCCAAGAAGAGACACGTAGCAAGTGGTTCAAAGAAAAAAAAATAAGCTTCTTCTTTAATCATTTTGAGAACTTAATCTGGGTAGCCCCAGAAGAGAATGCAATTTAATTCCATGAAATTTCAGTTAGCAATAGAAGTCTCTATTCCTGATAATGGGTAGCACAAAATTCCCACAAATTTCTGATTAGCAAATGTTTCTACTTTTTGTTTTGTTTTGGTGTCCCATCCAGTATCGCTCAGATGTTACTCCTGGTTCTGTATTCAGGAATTACTTTTGGTGGTGCTTGGGGAAGCATATGGGATGCTGGGGATCAATCCCAGGTGTGCCACATTCAAAGCAAGTGCTGTATCTGCTCTCTGGCCTTTAGCAAATATTTCTGGGTTAAAATAAGATTTATAACAACATGTATGGATATTTAGTAAGCTTCAGAATTTGTATCATTCCACATCCTGGATCTATACTCTTTTCTCTTGGGATGGTGTAAACTTCTGAGG